TTTTAAAAAATTATTCTCAATTAAAAGTATGTGAATTAAAATGTTATACTAAACATAATCATAGTCTCGATCCTGATAAAATTAATGAATTTCTTACATCATTTTGGATTGAACGACGATGGGTATTAGAAATAAATGTTGATCCTGTACATTTCTTATATTCAACTACACCATATGAGTACGTAACGCTTGTCTGAGGACTCGCTTAGCTCTTTTTTCGCGTGGAAATGCATCCTCTTCGCATTTACTGAAAAAACAATTGAAAATCGTGCAAAACAAATTTTCGATGTTTTTTTTGGCATTTGCACTCTCTTCACCACCCCCTCATCATGATCGTCCAACAGATCCCATATTCCAAGTATCTGCATCGATATACCGCTGCAAATATCTTTTTCGAAAAATCAGTTTTTGATGCTTTGTTGACCCTGCGGACACACAAGCAAGCAATCAGACAATTTATGTTTACTGAACTCTTCTCTACGAGAAATGGAATAATCTAAAAATTTGATCTTCATACAATTAAGTCCTCAAACATTAAAAATGTTTTGGCAAATTCACCAATATATATTAATTTCATACCAAAATATTGCAAATACAACACGTAAGAAACGTTACTTGTCTTTCTCTTATAGTAATATAAAAATAGACTCAATACTACATGTCTTATTTATCATCTATCGATCATTAGAATAGCGTCTACATCAGAGCCAACATCGATCCGATAAGATCCTTCTGGAAGGATGACATCGCGATCACCGGATACTTCATACATATCTATACTCACACCTACCCACATGAGTTCTGGACATTGACAAAATAAATACTGCTTTCTCAGTCATTCGAATCATTTCTTCTTCGAATACAACAATACATACATGGTTTACCTCACATACGAACTACTACTAAACATCATCATTTTCTAAATATTTTCTAGATTCTACAATAATTTCTCCTAACATAGCTTCCACTCATCGAACCTTTGTTATAACTAACCATCACAAGAAATATCATCTACCAATCATTAAACTTCATTATAGATAACACTTATGTACAGTAACCTACACAAACCGTCCATAATCATCTGCTATATTCTCATTGGCTTGAAACGAATATAGATGTCACTATATCTCAATAAAGCAAATCTAGTTATTCACCGTTTTATTTCTCACCATGAAAAAACCAATATATAAGGAACTCACAAACAATATAAAATGTATTGTTCTGCTTCAATAGAATAATACCGATTCAAAAAAACCGTCTGATGAGACCCTTAAGCAAGGTCGAAATCGCGATCACGGAGT